ATTTTTAACCCACTGGCGGTTAAGGAAATGGGCAAAATTGGGAGAATGTTTCTCCCCTACACACAGTTCCCCTATCAGTTAACATGGGAAAACCGGTTTTGCTATGCAGAGAAGACTGCAGGTTAAAATGCGACTTTTTACGTGCAGAACCGTCAGTGGGTTAATGGCTTTGATATATACCGGTTATTTTATATAAAATGTTTTTTATTGCATAGATACATCATTTTTTTTTCTTTTCAAATTTTTTTTATTTGAATTCAAAAACATATAAATATATCAGAATGAATTTTGTGTTCAATGATATTTGTGGAATTCTGTGATATTGATGTTCGAATTAAATTAAATTTAATTTATTAATTTTAATCTACTTAATATGTTGTTTTAATAACTATTTTAATCTTCTTCAATGTATTTAAAAAGTTGGAATCAATCTGTTTTTTTGTGTTGATTTGTCCATTGAAGGCTGTAAAAAAAAAACAATTTTATTTAAAAAATCTAGCTATTTGGAAATAATACCTATTTTTCCTTTATATGTCTTGATATTTATTATCCAAAAATCTTTAAAAACTTTAAATAATAAAGAAATAAAATTGATTCTTCTTTTATTTCTATTTCATGCATTCTAAACATTATTGTCAAATTGCATTTGTAAATACATATAACATTTTATCAGTTAAATGTTCATTTCCTCATTTTTATATGCTTGAAAACCTTTTGTAGAATTCTTGTTAGTTTTCTTACTCAAATGTGTTTATATCATGCACAGCTGTTATTAATGTAAATTTATTTTTCAAATTATCTTTTGAATTACTTTTTCTCAGATATGCTTTTATGACAATAAACTATCATTAAAAAATAAGGACTAACTAACATTGATACACAATACCACTGAAAAGGCTAAGTGACTTATAACAGAAAGGTGTACAACTTGCACTTATAACAGCAACGTCGGAAATTGTGCATTTTTTTATTTCTTACATTTTACTTCATTTATAAATTTCCTTCCTTTAAATTTTTTTATTGCTTTCTTGTGTACCTATTACAGGTGTGTTGTATTTGGTACTACAAAAAAAAAATTAAATAACATGATGTCAAATTCTCTTTTTCCTCATTTGCATTTCAAAGGTAAATAAAAATTAAAGAATTGTGAAAATTTGAATAAAACTATACTTATTAAAATGTACAAAATACTAATTTTAACTTACTGGGCTGGGACATTTCAATATATTGTTTGTATTTTAAAAATTCTTTTCTTTTTCTGGTTGTTTGATGTCTAAAAGAGCAGAATAGCCTTTGATGTCAAACAACCAGAACACAACAAACTGCAACTGAAAATAAAAAACAAGAAAATAAGAATCAAAATTTTTATTGCAAAAACAGTTTTATATATTAAATCTTATTAGAGAATGCACCAAGCAAATACTACATTCATAAGTAATGAGAAGTTGAAATTTACAATATTTTTTTAATTTTTATTTTATTTTTTAATTTCAAACATATTTCATTTCTTTTTAACTATTGCCTTCCATTTCTCTATCTATGTTCTTTCTTGTCCTAAATTATACTGTAGAATTACTGAAAAAAAGTTACTAAAATATTCAGCTAATGCAAAACAAACTATATGTAACTGTGAAAGTTTCCTATTTAAAACTAATAATAAGATTCAAACTTGTTTTATATACCCAAGGCACATGCTTTTATTCTTCAACTTTTATGAAAGTTCAAATTTTGCTGAAAGTATTATTTATTTCAATCTGCGGAACTTAAATGTATATATTTTCGCTCAATTTACTGTCATTATTTTATTTATAAAATATTGAGGCATGATTAATTAGTTTTAACAGGATATTACTAAAATTTTTTGTAAATCCTTTTTCTTTCTTTCTTTTTTTTTTTTGTGAGTTTAATATGTAAGTTTTAAATAACCACCTCCACAAGAAGCATGAATTGTTAGTATTTTTAAAAATGATTATGTTCAACATTGAGTCATTTGTAATTATATGGCAAGAAAACCTTTATTTAATTTATTTTAAATCATATTTTGTCAAATTATTAAGCTTTTTTTTTCAACTTATTTAAATAATTTCGTTAAATTCATGTGTATATATATCCTATATTCATAGGTATTCCTTAGTTTAAATTGAACAAATCATACTAATTTTATAACTGCATTGCTATATTTCTGATTTTGTCAATTTTAATTTTTAATGTTAATTATGACTTTTAATTCTAGAAAACATATAATATTTTATATTAATGCTTTGCTAATTTCTGGCTTTTGCTCATACCTTTATTTTATTTTATTAATTGTATTGTATAATTCATTCAATATTTTACTAAATTTTATTCAATGTTGAATAAAAAATTTTCAATATTCATTTATTTTGTTCAATATTCATTTTTCTTATTTCTTTAGCACATGCCTTGGTACAATTTTCTTTTCTAGTCAAAGTAAAATATTTCCATCACATTGAATATATGAATTCAAAAGCTCAATACATTTCAAAGAAATTTAACATAAATACAAGATTTGTTGGTTATAAAACAATAAATTTCAAAGTTTCTGTAGGAAAATATATTCTGACATTCGTTACCACAATCATATAGATTTATATTTCTTGAAATATCGAATAAATTTTTATCACATAACTGTTAAAATACCATTTTATTGTTGCATACAAAAACTGACATAAATTTTGTTTCAGGGATAAGGAGAAAAAATGTACAAATCTCTTTTATTATCCTTAAAACTTTATTATTTTAGTTTCAATTATTATTAACTGATGTTATTAATTAAAATATTTTTGTTTTATTTCATTTACTTCAGTAGATTGCCATATAAATCAAATTAATCTACACTCTTCTATATTTTTCATCAATTTTTAATTGTATATTTATTTTTAAATGTGTATCTATATTTTCAATACTCGTTAATTTGAGATCTAAGCTAATAATGTCTATTGCATTATTGTTCTATTGTTTTTTTAAATTCAGATATACTGTTTTTAAAGATGCTTATCCATTTAAGTTGGATTATTAGCCATTTTATAAATTTGTAATTATTTTTAATGGACTTTTTTAATTTTTTTTAATGTCACAATTACATTGTATCATACTAAAAAAGGATTTTTTTGTCTGAATTTTCACATAATAATTCAGTACATTGTATAACTTTTTTAATGGAAATAACATTCATTTTTTAATATTACATAATATATTTGAATTCTCAAAGTAAATTTTTTATAACTCATTATGCTGTTGCAAATTAAAAAAATAAATAAAATTCAAATATCATTAGTTGCAAACAAGGAAAAAAAATTTCATAAAGCAACCTCCTCTTGCACCAATTACACAAAGCTCACTTAATCAATTCAATGAAATATTTAAAGGCATATATAAATTTTGTGATGCTGACATCATAATCATAGGTATTTTAACAAAACATATATTTCACATAACATAAATGAAGTTGAACGTTGATTAATATACACAGGGGCATCATTCTTGATTAAATTATCGTGCAACGTTCAACATCATTATTGAACAACGATAGTAATGTAACGTAGACAACAGTTCAAACATACTATTCTAATGTTAGTTTATACATAGATTATATATAAATAGTCGCAGTTATCACAGAATAACATAGTTATACAACATCAGAATTGACACAGATTAAAATGAAGGCTTTTTTTTTCTCATTTGTACACATTTCATTTGATTGAATTGGAAGCAGTGTTGCCAATCATTTATTTATTTTATTTTATCAAAATTGAATGGCATTTACGATTTTACGGCACTTTATATTTTATGTCGCAGATATTTGCTCACTGTTTGACTGTATTTGTAACTTAGCTGGAAAACTGACAGCTTGCCAAGAGTTAAGAAAATTGTTCAAATGTGTAAGAGAGATAGGAGTTTATTATATTATGCATGTAATTAATACTCGCTAAAAATTTAAAATTGCCAAGCTTCTGTACCACGGACATTAAATCGAATATTTGGCTGATTATCAGCAAGAAAACTTAACTGAAATTGT